GAAGGAAGGATAAAAAAAAGAAAAAGACAATGAGAACTATGACCAAATGGTCTTAGGAGAGAAGCTTTAGTGGCACAACAGTATGTATTTAGCTGCTAACTGAAAGGTTGAAGGGTTGAAACCCACCACCTGTTCTCAGGTGAAAAGACCTAAAGGTGTGCTTCCATAAACACTTCAGCCTAGGACACTCTTGTCATAGAGGGTCACTACTAAGAAGCCCTAGTAGTATGGTCCACAATGTTTTGGACTGCTATCCAAAAGGTTGACCATTCAGACCCACCAAATACTCCTCTAGACAGTCAGTCAGTCTCTTCCCATAAAGACTTTTAGCTTCAATTGGGTAACGGAGTCTCTCAGTCAAAATCAACGCAACTGATTCTGGGTTTGTTTTGTTTTGTTTGTATACAATACAATCTTTTAATGTATCTTGCTAGTAGGGGCATATAAAACATTTAGAATTGTTTTTCAGTATTCAATCAGGCTGAGCCGATTGTAGTGATGTTTACATTATTTGTATTGCCTTCCTGCTCAAACTTTACTTCTTTTAATAAATTTACTTTTGTAAAGTTGTGTTACTTTCATTGACATGAAATGTTGAAAAGCCCAAAGTACGTGAAAAATGTGCTTCATCTAAGACATAGTTGTTCATTCATGGTGGCAGTTGATGGCATATTCAGTATTCTTCACCAACAGTTGAATTCAAAGACATCAATTCTTTAATCTTCCTTATTCATTGTCCACATACATGTGAAACTCATAGAGTTGTGAAGAATGTAGTGAGGTGATGAAAGCATGCTGTAATCTCTACTATGCTGTACAAACATTACAAACACTCAGCATTGTATTAGGAAAGTTGGGGTTGGACCACGTGGGTCACTGATTCTGTTGTTTTTTTTTTTATTTTAATGTGAGAAGCGATAAAAAAAGCCTTTTGTTTTAATGATTCACTACATCAGAGGAACTCGTGGAACTACAGGGATATGAAGCATCAGAGAGAGAAGGGAAAGGTGAAGAAGGAAGAATGTGACAGAGGAGAGAAATGGGCAGGACTAATCAAGCTGTTAGATGAGAAGTTTGCCCAGAATCTAGTGGCTGCATCATAACTAGAACACTCAGTGGAGGAGCCTGGCCCCTGGAGTCTTTCCTGATGGCCCCTTTCTGTCCTTTCACTCCTCTTGTAGATAAAAATGACAAAGCAATATGTTGATGTCTCTTACTCGCGGGATAAGTGGAACAAGGAAGTTTTTCCTCAACGTTTCTAAGTTACCAAAGAACTAGCAAGACTTGGGGGAAATTTTAGAGATGGTCCCATTCTTCTCCCCACAGTCTTCTCAAAGACCAGTGAGATTTCTCACATCTCTGAGTGCCCCACATTTTATTCAGATTTCTCTTTGAGGTCCCCCAGCATCTCCTGACCCCACCCAAAGAGAGTAAGGGTGCCAGTGGAAATCCCCTGAACAAACTAGCACATGCTGTACCAAAATATTGTGTCTTTGCTTTGTTCTTCTACATCTTCACAACTAAAGGAAGGAGATACAATCAAAATGATAGTCCACTTAAATGATAAACAAGAGAATTTAAAGAGACAGGACCTAGTTTGCACGCCCACTGAGTCACACCCTGTGAGCATTAGATGAGTTCCCTGTTGGTAAACAGCTGTAAATTGTGATTTCTCTTGGAACACTTACTTAATTCACAGGAATTTGTAAATACAGCTTTCTTGAAAAGCTATCCAGCTCAGGGCACAGGCACAAAACATAGCAATTTTGGTCAATCAGGCTTAGGATTTTCTAAGCAAGCTTTCAAAACAAGGATGCAAATTAATAACTGATGTGCGGAATTGTCACTCTGAGTTTGCTTTGGAAGGTATTGTAAAATGCCAGGGAAGGACTCCAGGAGGCAGAGGAGGCAGAGTATGTCTTCTTTGGTTCTGGAATAATCCCTGGGCTCGTTGTCTGGAACTGGGTTCCATGATTGCACACCATCTCATTACCTCTCACTGAATCCAGCCTCAAAACCAAAGAACAACTTTCAGAAACTGGTGCAGATGGTTTCATCTCCCCTTGTCTCTTTTTACTAGATTGTCAGAATATCATGATGAGACAAGCTCGCTCACGCAGCTTTCAAAGTCTCTCGGGCTTGTTTTTCTCACTGGAGGATGTTAATGCTGTTCACGAAGTCATTTTTACAGGCCCACAGGGTCATGTCTATACAAGGACACTGAATCAGGTCCAGGTTGTTATGTTACTCTCCACCTTCTTTCTCTGTGTTCACCTGTCTTGCTGTTTCTTTCCAGATTGAGCATGCTATTTCATGGCCTGGATCCACGTCATTTAGAGACCTGAGGAGAGCCAAGTCTAAGAAAAGGCATTGTCAACAGAGAGATTGCTACTGACCTTTACTCTGAACAGTAAAAATAGGGGGGAGTGGGGAATATCCTCCCAAGAGTTAGCCTCCAGAAGTCAGCCAGATTTAACAAGTTCCACTACAGTAACCATGTGGTCATATCTGGAACAATTTTGATTGGCAGACAAGTTTAGGAAGGGTCCAAATTACCAGTGTTATTTTCTCGGTCTTCTGTACTGTGGGTTAGAGGTGCTGGCGTGGTCTGCAAACTTTTCTCAACTCTCATTGCTGAGAAGTTGGAATCAACTCATAGCTGATGCTCCAGGGAAGTTTCAGAGGCTGTAAAGCTGTAAAACACACAGTAGATTACCCATCTTTCTCCAACAGAGCTGCTATTTTTTCAAGATTTTTAAAAATTATTATTATTATTATACTAGTTTATTTATAAAATTCGAATACATTGTTTTCCAGAACAGATTTTTCTTATTTCGCTCAACCCCTCACCCATCAAATTGTACAACCCCATGATTAATCTCTCCTCCCTCTGCACGGCCTCATCCCTCTACTTCCACCCTCCACACCCCTTGGATCCTTATACTCATTCTATAATAATGGTAGGACTGTGTTAGTTCTGGAGTATTTTAATTAGCAGTCTGGAATGCCTAATTAGCAGAGAGACACCTCATGTTCCTAAAAAGGTGTGTGGCAAGATTTTCGTACATATACACAAATTTAATTACATTGTGAAAGTCACAATTGTTTCTGTTAAATGAGAAGTCTTTTTTTTTTTTTTATGAAAGGCCAGATGTTTTGCAAGCAAAACAATCTCTGTGTCAGATACTCCACTCTGCTGTTGGGACACACAAGGAGCCATAGACTGTACAAAAAAGAAAAGTCTCCAACGCAAGTTTATTTACAAAAAAACCAAGATGACCAGCCAGCTTTGATCAACCTCCGAAAGAAAGTAAGTAATTTTTTAATGCCTAGGGATATCTGGTAGCCTAGTAGCAAGAAGCTGTGCTATAATCCTAAAGGCACACAATTGGAATCGACCAGCTGCTCCGTAGGAGAAGGATAAACAATCTCTTCTCCTGTGATTAACTGCCTCTAAAAACCCGCTGGAGGGTCAGCTATGGGTTGGTCTGACTCTAAAGTCAACAACAACAACTTGTAATGAATGAAATACAAGTACTAAAATATACAGGGGGAAATTGCTGTTCATATGAACTGCTCTAGTGAATGTCCCAAGCCCTAGTGGCAAAGCGGTTAAACACTACATAGCTAACCAAAACGTCAGCAGTTTGAATTCTCCAGTTGCTCTCGGGGAGAAAAGTGTGATGGTCTGTGTCTAGAAAGTTCAACAGCCTTGGAAATTCTGTGGGGTGAGGGGGCAGTTCTCTGAAGGCCCGGGGG